AAAAAAAAAAAAAAAAAAGAAAAGGAAAGGAAGAAAAAAAATTTTTTTTTTCTAGGGAATGACCCGGATTTTCATCATACTCTTTCAATTTTCTAAAAACAACGAATCCATATCGGCGGGTTTTAGGAGAAGGTGGGTGAAAAAGAATCACAAATAATATTAATCTTAGACAGCACCAATATTGCCACCAAACTGACACCATCATCATCGTCGTCGTCATCACCGTCATTCAATCTACCAGTACACCATTAATTTTTCTGTATCTATTTTACGTGAAGTTTAATCGCCATTTCTACAGTTGACGACAATTTCGCTGAAAAAAAAAACTGCTTTTTTTTTAAAGAGGAAGAAATGATCAAAAAAAATCTCTTACCATTGTCATCATCAGCATTTTTTTTTTTTTTTTTTGGCTCTTCATTAGAACTTTCCGCTTTTTTTTCCTTTTTTTTTGCTTCATAAAATTTGTATCCCTTCTTATCTGCTTTCTTCTCTTTCACATTCCGTTCTTGTTCAAAACTTATTCGACTTCACTAGAATAGTAGTGAAAAACGTTCTTATTAAACGGATGTTTGGCACAAAGAAAAAAAGAAGAAAAAAAATAGAGGAGGAAGGAGGGAAGAAAATAAAACAAAAATAAAAGTAAAAATAAAGAAAGAAAAATAGAAAGGGAAATTTAACAAAGAAAAAGTGTTTTGTATACGATGACCTGTGAGCAGCGATAACTGGCTGGAAGACATTTTAGTGTAATTGGAACTGCTGCTGCTCCATAGCTTCAGATTTGTGACTGTAACTTCGTTTCCTGGAGATGATCATTGTCGGTCACAGTTTTTTATGTTCCGCTATCTTTCACCACAGATGTCTGGTAGAAAATTGCGAAAGATATAAAAAGGAGATCGAGGGAACGACGGAAAGCGAGTGCGTTAGAAGGAGATTACAGGTTTGGGGAAGGGGAAAAGAAAGCGAAAAAGGTCGATATCAACTTTGTTTCGTATTGTCGCTGTGTATCAGCAAAAATGAAAATTTTCTTTTCCACAAGTTTTGATTTGATGACAGCGAGAAAAAGAAGGTCGCCGTTATTTTTCTGGTTTGAATGCAGCTTAATTAAGACTTCGTTAAAATTTTTTCATCGTATTGGTCATTTACAACAATACTGATTTTGTTTGTTTTTTTCTATTTTTTTCAAGTGTAATAAATTTTTTTTCTTTTTTTTTCGAGAGGGGAAAAAGGTGGGAGCGTAGGGGGAAGAGAAAAGGCGAGGGGGAGAGCGGAAACTGTCAAAGTGGAGAAGGGTTGTTCTTTGCTTGATCCGAACAAACTTGGGACTGAGACTGTCTACTGGTATGACAGCCGTTGATATCTTCGTTATTACTCCGGTACAGTTATCAGTTGCGAAAAATCGGTATTAATTTCTTATTTCGTTTGGTGATGGAAACTGCAAAAAAAAAAGCACATTGAATTTAATGGACTAATAATAATTGCAATTTTACCAACTGATCGGCGTTTTGTTATACCTTCTTAAAATTTTACTTATGTGCAACGACGTTGTGATTGTTGTTGAGGGTTTCGCTGTTGTATTTCACTTTTTTTTCTTGATCAAACTGATTCCATGTATTTGGCTTTCAGTCGGTGGCAATTTCTATGATTTTTGTTGAGCACTCAACATTAGAAACAAGATTAATTTGAAGGCTGATTAAGCAAAGAACAGAAATTTGTGCCTGTTTTTAAGCGCTCAGATTTGTTTTGCTATTTTCTGCAGTTGTTTGCATCAGGAATATGGGTATTTCATTAGAGCGGTTACCTGTTTTGCTACACTTTTCGGTAGTTTACTATCAGTTTCAAGAAACATTTTGCAAAGAAAGGTGGCACTGCTGTTTTCTGAAAGAAAACTTTTTTTGGGACTAATTGATGGCATAGTCAAAGCTGCCAGAAAGACTCTGATTAGAAATTTTTATTGTTATTTATTACTTGTAGATCTGCTGACAGCTATAGTTGTAGATAATGGCTGAATATTTGGAAGTAACTTTAACAGGCTTGGATTTAATTGATTTATTTGATCTTTGAATTTGAATTTTACTATTTTACGACAAAATTCTTTTCAAATTTTTTCAGTTTTTGAATGAATTATCTTTTTTCCTTCTTTTTTTTGCTTACTAATCTTCAGATTATATTTTATTGTAGTGAACCTTTTAATAGGAAAGAAGAGGAAATAGGAGATGAAGGTGAAAGTGGGGAAAGAGAGAACAGGGAAGAGTGCAAAGATAGAGGAAAAGTGAAAGGAAAAGTGATTTTTAAGGGCCGAAAAACTTCTTTAATCGACTTTCAATGAACCTAAAATTCTTTGCTTGCCAAAACAGTGTTTTTTTTTTCGAATTTAGAAGAAAAAACAGAGGATATGAAAAGAAAAGTGTGAGTTTTTTACCTCCCTTCAAACTCATTTTATATTTCAGAAGAACAAAAATATTACTAGAAAGATTAATAAAACTGACAAGTATTTTCAACTTCAAGTTTTCAATTTTTTCACTTTGGAATTTGCCCTCTTTTCAGTAGTTTTGGCTTTTTTTCCTGCTTTTTTTTGGCTGACAGTCAATAGTGCTTGTGGTGATGTAAAAAACGCTGAAGTACAGTGTTAATAAAGGCTAAAATTTAGATAAAATAGGGAGAACCTGAATTTTTTGTCATTGTCAAAGTGCAGCAGTTTTTGGTTATTGTTTAGGGGAGGCAATGTGGCTGAGGGATAAAACACTGCTTACAAGTTGAAAGTTTTTAGAGGATAGGTGACTGTGTAAACATTGAGAAATAGATGAAGATTGATCGAAGCAAAAGAGTATGAAGGAGAAGGAAGGGAAGCAGACAAATAAGAAGATAATAACTATTATCGCAACGATCATCTCCTGTGAAGAACTCAGAGAAGACCAGTGAGAAAGAAGGATAAGATGAGGTGAAGAAGAAAAACGAAAAAAAAATAAAATTTTCAATGCTTTCTTTCAGTTTTTGACGTTAAGAACTTGGTAGAAACAGGTGATAATGAATTCACTAGACGATATCTGTAAAAAGTAAAAGCAGCCGGAAAAACGGATGATTTGAGGGCTAAAAGTGGCCTTTGTTCAACCACAGACTTATAATTAAATAAACTGTTCAGATCAATACGGTTCAGATTATAGGCAAACTTCGTTGGAGTTGCAGTCAGGGAAAAAACTGCAAAAGAACTTTTTTACTAATCTAATTGAACAACAATTTTTTCCTTGATGATGATTAAGAGAGTTTTTTCTTAAGAAACTTTTTTTGAATATTAAAGAAACGTTTCCTCTTTTTGATGGTTGCATTTCTTGTTGTCTTTTTTCTCTCAAATTCTTTCTCTTTTTTCTCTACTGTTTTTTTTTCAGCTTTTTTACTTATCTGTTCTATAGTTATTTGGTGAATTTGTATAAATTTTAGTGGTTTATTAGTGTTATTGGATACTGCTCACCGAGCACGGTAGTGCGAAAAAAAAGTGAATTTTTTTCCCCTCATAGAGCGTTTATTGTAAATGCCATATAATGGGACTTTTTACAGAAATACAATTCAGAGAACAGTTTTAAATACGTTTAATTTGAGATTTTAATTCTTTAAATTTCTATTATTGCTAATGCTATTGCTTTTGCGTTATTTTTATTACTGACGAGAAGAAAGCGAAAACTACTGTTGTACGTTGTATATTTATAAATTAACAGTGATTTCTATTACTATTCCAAAATTTGACTGGTTACCAATCTTCTACTGTAGGGATAATTGTTTTTTTCTTGTACATTTGGACAGATGACGGAGACAGAGGACATCAAACAACGAGGGCGGAAACAGCAACAGCAGCAGCAACTGCAGCAGCGACAACAACAACAACAGCAAAAACAGCAGCAGAAACAGCAACAGCAACAACCTACAATGTTTGCTGATGTCGGTAAAGTGATTGAAGTATTCTTTTCACGCGTATTCTATATGCATGGTAAATTGGTTGGAATATATCCACTGTATTTCTTAATTGGTAGTTTACTGTTCACTGCAATATGCTCATTTGGATTCCTGAATTTGACGATTAATTTGAATCTGTATAAACTATTTGTACCTGAAGATGCTCCAGTACGAAGAGAATTTGAGCGGTAAGCCTTATTCATTGTCGTATTGCTTTTTCATTTCTATGTATGTTCTTTTCTTTTCAAATTTCTATTATTGTTTCGTCTTATATGAAAAAAAATTTTTTTTGTCAGTTCTTTAGAAGAATTAAAAGTGATATTTCTGTAGTAAAATATGAAGCAAAAAGTATATCGCAGTTCTTTTTTTCAGCAATTTTCTTTTTCACTTTTTTAAACAGTTAAAAGTTTTGTGTTAAATTATAATTTATTAAACGTTGAAAAGAAAAAAAAATTACTGTTTTTTTGATTAATGACAAACAGATTATTGTCGTTTATATTAGATATTTGTTGCTTAAGATTTCAGTGCTAAGCTGTATCGGGAAATGCCATCAGGTGTTGACAGCAGTCTGGCGAGGCCGATGCATAAGCGGGCAGTCGGTAAGAAATCATTATACATTTTGTTACTTTCAATCTTTCAACAATAAAGTTTTAGACTTTTTATAGCATAATTCTCGGGGTTCTTTTTGTTTTCTCTTAAACTTTTAAACTTCTGTAAATTAGAATATTTCTGGAATCACTGTGTTTTTATGCATATCGATGAAGATAGCAAGAAGAAAAAATAATTGTTTGAAATTTTTTAAAAAAGTTTATCTATTTGTTCTGCCTTCTTTTTTCTTTTTCGTTTTTTTCAATTTTTATACCTCTCGTCATTTGTTGACAATCAAAAACTATTGTTTTATATTATTAAATTTCAAGCTGAACACTTTTTTTTTTGTCGGCAGTCAATAAATGCACATAAAAAGTCAGCTTCTTTTTTTTGTTTTATTTTTTTTTCTTCTTCTTCACTTCTCTTCGTTCCTTCCAGTTCTTAGCTTTGAAAAAAAATAACAAACAGAGATCCACCTCTACTTTGTTGTTTCATTTGCTGTTGTTTTATGGTCACAACGATTCACTTTTTTTGTCTCCCGCTTAAGCTTCTGTTGTTGTTTTTTTTTCAAAGCAGATTAGGATTAGAAAGGCGATTAAGGAGAGGAAGGGAAGAGAAGGAGAAAATTTTAAAAATCAGAAAAAGAAAAAGCTAAATAAATTGCATTTGCAATAATTAATTGTACTGTTTTTTGTAAGAGGACGTGAAACAGAAAACAAAACTGACAGACTTGGGAGGTTTTCTAAATGAATAATCAACTGGAGAATTATAGACTGCTGTTGCCTTTGTTATTTTTGTTGTTACTTTATTACTATTATTACAAATTTGAATGGTTTTCATTTTAAAAAACAAGTCTAAGTAATATTTTAATTTCAATGGCAATATGCAGTTTTATAAGTTAGGAATAAAAAAAAGTTTTTTTAAGAAAGAATAATGATTAAAGCTCTTCTTTTGGTTTTCATTTTTCTCTTGAATTTTATTTCTGTTTTTTGGTGTCTACTAACTGATATTCAAACTTGACTGAACAAGCAAATATGGAAAAACGATTGAAAGAGATTGTCAGCAAAGCACTTGTTTTTGGTCAGTTAGATGAACTATACTGATATTGAAGTTTACTTTCAGAGATTCCAACTATGCACGAAAACGTAACAGGCAAGTAGTTAAGCTGAAATTCTTTTTTTTGTGCTTTTCAAAAGTATCGCAGCTTTTATAGTTGAGATATGCCTCTATGGTTGCGGTTACTTTGATGATTAGTCTAACACAGAGCAGCAAAAAATGCTTCCTCGGTAGTATATCTTAGCAGCAATACTGAGTGATCAAAATATTTTAAGTAACCGGACTAATGCTTTATAACTCATATATTGGGTGATTAGTATGCTTATTTATGCCGGTTTATTACGGTATAATGTTTTTTGTTGTTATTGCTTTTTGCCCACATAACTTGGTCAGTGCTTGAAAGGCTGATAGAAAGATTGAATTTGGGGTACGCTAATGCTATTTTTTATTTCTTGTAATGTTTTGGGTACTTGTCGGAACAGCTAAACTCTTACGGCAAATGTTTTTGTCACTTTTTAAGTGTTTCATAGCCAAAATCCAAGAACAGAAATTTTTAAGTCCTTTTTTTTTTAAACAGTAGAACTAAAACTAAAAATATTTTTTTTTGACCGCTATATTCTCTTTTAAATTCAACTTGGTTTTTTTATACGACCAAAAATTATGAAAAAAAAAATTTAAAAAAAAAAAGAAACAAAAAAATGTATTTTTATAATACTGCAAACAACAGTATTGAATGATATTAATGTGATAAAAAAAATTTAAACAGTTTAGTGTAATTTATTGTATTGAAAAAGGAAAAAACAACAGCCAGTCGTAAAATTTTATGGTATTTGATTAAATTTGACAATGTGCCATCGCCTGTCGACACTGAATACGTGTATTTGTTGGTTGAACAAATTCTGTTGGTCATTAGTTTATCTGAATGAAAAGTAGAAATAAGACTAACAACAGTATTACTGTTTTTCTTTCTCAATTACTAACAGTTTTGTTGGCTTCGTCAGTAATAGTAACCTCTCTGTAAGATTGTCAACAACGAACATACGTTCAGTGTTCACTTATTATATGGCTTAAAAACGTTTCAAAAATTGTTCTACTGGTTTAAAAACAATAATAGTTGTTTTTCTACTCAAACAGTAATTGTTGGCCAGTCGTCGAGCTTCTTTTTTTGTTTCTGCTAACTTTCCTAACCTCTCTGATTTGGTAACAGTCTTAAAAGTTATGGTATATCGTGATCAAACACCTTACTGATATGTGTTCTTTTGTTTTTTTCATAGAAGGTGTCTAACTGTTTTTGCGTATGATCTTTTTTAGTTGGCTTATATTTGTCCAAAAACTAAACAGTCAACTAACCTAACAAAACAAAACAAAACGATAAAAAAAAAAAGGAAAATGCTCTTTCCAAAATTGGTTGTGAAACTTTTAAAAACAGAAGCAAAAACGAATATTTCTTGTTCAAAACGTTCTACTCCGTATTTTTGGAACAAAATGTTACTGGTGTTTTTTTTTTCATTTTGATCTCAGTAACAGCTACAAATTATAATATACAAATGTCGTATAGAAATATAAAATTGGACAATTTTCGGTGGCATAAAACACATTTTTTTTGGATGGATAAAAGGTATTTTCTTTTGTGCTATGCAACGGTAAACTATTAGCATTAGCTTAATTGTTAATAAAAAAACTGCAATACTGCATTAACGGCTGCAGACTCAGAAATTATTCGACACGACATTCTACGATACTATGTGGTGCATAAAAATTATGAAAATTTGTTGAAGCCAGAAATTTTAACCAGACTCTTCAACTATTCGCAGGAAATTTTTCATGTGACAACAAATTATCGGGGTAAAACATATAGTTTTGATCAGTTTTGCAGCGACGACGGTTCTGACGGTGTAAGTTTTCAGTCAATATTTTTCACCGTAGTGCCTATTTAGTTCACTTTTTTGTTTGTTTGAACAAACGTGTACCATTCTGATCAACCAACACCAAATTGCCGGAACATACAATAACAGTTCAATTCAGTATTTTAGCTATGATTTATTATAAGAAAGAATGAGAAGATTATGTCAAAGTCAAGTGGTCATATGTATTTCATGTCTCCAAGTTTTCTTATCAATTGGTGACTGAAGTTAATTGTACACTTAAAGGTATTTAAATTTTTAGAAATGTAACAACAATTTGAACATTTGGTTAAAACATGCTGGCGTTTTGTTCAGCGAAAATGGCATTAAAACAAATCCGAATTTACAGTTATCATATCCAGTAATGTATTTGTTTAATCGACCAAAAGATATTGGACAGGTCAGATGCAAAAATTTAAACTCATTTAGTACATAAAAAGAATTTGTCTTTTTTTTGTTTTATTTAATCTTTTAAAACAAATTTTTACTACAAGAATATTTTTTACAGGTTGTTTATGGTGTTTCTGTTGCTGGTGAGAAACATGAAATTGTTGGAGCAAAAGTTTTAACACTTCACTGGAGCGTTCATTTTCCAAATACAGGAGAAATGAATGGTGCTTATCATAAATTTCGTGATGCAGTTAATGATTTTTGGAAGTCAAAAACTGAAGAATGCGGTATCAACTTTATTCCACATAAGTAAGTCGACATCAGAAGCACGAGTTTAAATTATAAAGTTTTTGCATCGTCCAGGAGAACAAGAAAGATTCTGTTAAGCTTTACAAGTGATCAGTTGTCGAGGTACCGTACATCGTCGATAGCTAAAAGCACGAACATTTACCTGAATTAAGTCTACCAAGAAACAACCTGATTGTTTAATTGCAGATTGGAAAATATGGTTGAATAACTTGTGCTAATAATCACTCATAGATTATCAGGAAGGATCTTAATATATAATTCTGATTCTAAACTTGATATAAGACTACCACTGAGAGTAAAAAAATATTTTGAAAGTTAAGTTCTTAGCTGCATCTCAAGACGGTCTAAAGACCCAATTAAGTTACGCACCGCAAACCTGAAGTTATCTGTGTTATAAAGGTCGAACTTTTAACTGCCGTTTACCAAAATTTCTTCACAAATTTGAAAAATTAGTTCAACAGAATGTAAATTGTTCGACAAAAAAAATGGCTAGACCAAAATTTACCGGTTTAATGATAACAAAAAAGTTATTTAAAAACTTTTTCAAGAAGACTTTATGATGTTGTTATTTGAAATTCTGAAGTAAACTGTTAAAAGCAGTGAAAATTAAATGAGTTAATTTACATCTGTTAAAAGATTTTGATGACAGCTTTAGCTTCGAAAGCAAAAAAATAAAAAAGAAAAAGCACCAAACTTTACTTTTTTTTAGCGATAGAGCAATGGACGATGAAATGAGGCTGATCATTTTAACAGCACTTCCATTTGCCGTACCCGTTTCCATAACATTGATGGTTTTTGTAATTATGTCAAATTTTTCTACCAAACGAGTCGAGTATCAATTCACTTCTCTTTTTTCTGCTACCATAAATTTTTTTTTTTTGTAAGCGAGTGCTTTCCACCAGTTAATGCCAACTAAAACTTAGATTAAAAAATCCTTTTATTTGACCCGATATGGTACAGGTGAGACGTTAAAGTGACCAGTAAATTTATTCGCTAAAAAAATTTTTGGACAAGAAAAATAACTGGTGTTTTTTTTTTTTTTTTCTGTAAAAATTAAAGATTTTTGTGGAAATATTAATACGTTGCGTGTCTATCGTTTTTGTTTTTCTTTTAGGTCAAAACCTATGGAAGCTTATTTGGCTGTTGTTTCAGTGATTTTATCGCTGATCTGTACATTTGGAATTGTTTTCACTTTTGGAATGGCATTCAATCCAGTTTCCTGTACAATGCCATTCTTGATATTAGCAGTCGGTAGGCATTATAGTATTGTAAAGCATTTTTTCCTGATTTGTTTTTTTAAATTAAATTACCCTAGAAACTGAACTAGCAAAGTAACAAAATAAATTAGAGAACATATTCAGTGCAAAAAATTTCCAGACTGATAAATACGACCTATTTTTGGCTTAATGTGAAGAGTTACTGAGATAATTTATTTATGCATCATTGAAACAAAAAGTGAAAAAAAAAGCATTGTTGAAGCAGCAGCTGTAGTAAAAACGAAAAAAAATTGTTTAGAAACTTTTTTTGCAGGTGTTGATGATGCATTTTTGATGCTCGGTGCTTGGCGTACAACAAAACGAAGCCTTCCGCCGGAAGAACGTATGGCGTTGACTATGGCTGAAGCTGGCGTTTCTATAACTGTTACATCTGCAACAAACTTCGGCTGTTTTAGTAGAGCAATTTCTTGATTACTCATATTATACTCTCGTACTTTGTCAGCAATAGTGGCAAAATTTTTTACAGCTTTTTGGATTTTTATTGAATGAGTAAGTGAAAATAGCTGAATTTGAATTACTTAGTTTTTTTTTTCTAGCACTTGGTTATTTCTTATGTGCTACACCGGCTGTTGCTTCATTTTGTCTGCTGACCGCTGTTGGTGTTATCTTTGATTACCTTTTTCAAATAACGTTTTATTCATCTATAATGATCTATGGTGGTCGAAAAGAGGAAACTGGTGGTCTGATGGGATGTTGCTACAGAAATAAGAAAGTTGATGATGTATCAAAAAGTTCCAACTCGATAAGTGCAGAAAAAAGTCATGGTAGATATTTAACAGCTGTTTTTAGTTCATTTTTCAGGTTATTTGATTCAACAATGAAAAGCAAGGATTAGAACAATTAGTTTTTTATGTCTTCCAAAACACTGAATTTAACAAATGTATCGACAATGTTAAATGAAATTTTTCAGTGCCATTTATGCACAGATTACTTGGCGAATATTATGCACCATTAATATTGCGCGATAATGTTAAAATCTTTTCGCTTTTTCTCTTCATAGCATATTTTTTGCTTGGTGTCTACGGTTGCTCGAGAATACAAGTTGATATTAGTCCAAAAAAGTACATTCGTGACAATTCACCTATGCAAACGTTTATCCATCTGGCCGGTAAATGCATAGCTACTAGCCTTTAAAAATTTTTTTTGAATTTTGGAGTAGTTTTCAAATTTTTTATTGTTTTCTTTAGATAAATTTATTTGGGCGGATAATGTGATGCCGACATTTTACATAATGAAACCACCGGATCTTCGAGACCCTTCTGCTCGCGCTCAAGTCAATGAAATAGTCTATCGGCTGGAGCATACAAAATACAGTATTGGGCGAGTGTCCACCAATTTTTGGATGTGGGAATATCAACGTTTTCTAAACGATTATCCCGGTGTTGATATCAATCGTGATTTTTACAAAAAAGAGTATCTCGTAGATTTCCTGCTTCAACCTGACTATGCACAGTATAAAGGTTTGGTGATTGCATTGGTGTCGAGTTAATTTCAAATATTTTCCTCAACAAAGTCACCAAATTACAGTGAGAATAATAATTGAGCATTTTTTAAAATAAGAATACTGCAAATCATTGCTTTTAATTTTTTAGTGTTTTAAAAAATTAGTGTATGGCTTGAACTGGTAAACTTAAACTAGCTAAAAAGTTTCCCATTATTCTAGAAGCTGTTAGAATTGACCACAACACCTCAAACGGCGAACCTTGTATAATTGCCTTCAGATTCCAAACTAGCTATTACGGCCTTGATTCATGGGACAAGAGACAGGTAAAGTTGAACAAAAGCGACAGTTTTTTAATGGCGCAGCTATTTAGATTGATTTACAAATAACTTCAAAGAATCATAGTTCCTTTTCAATCCTTCTGAAAGAAAGGTCTTTTAAACAATAGTTTAAATCTAAAAGCAATTATTGACAAAAAACTTCAACTGTTTTTTGTTTATTTTTATTTGTATTGATAGTATATTAACCTGCCAGAGTACAGAAATTAAACCTTTTTTGCTTCGTTTAACAAAATAAGAGTTTTTATTAATTAAATTTGGAATTACGGTTATTTCATGAAGTGGTTGTCAAAACGGATGAAAGTTAAGGTGGAGAGTGGGAGTAAATTGAGTTTTTTGAAAAAAAAAGTACATTTATTTAGCTGAAAGATTCTTTTATAAAATCTTCCGGAGTAAAACCC